GCGCGCGGGGGCGGCGGCGCCACAGCCCAACTTGGCCTCGGCCTCGCCCTCTGCCCAGCCCGCCGGCGTCCCCTCCTTCCCGCGATTTCGTTTCTTCTCACGCTCCCCCCTCGCCCCCTCCCGCGTCCAGCCCCGCGCTCCCCACCTTGTAAAACAAAGCCGGGGAAAATGCCTGCCCTTGCAGCTCGGAGCGCGCAGCCCGTCTCTGAATAAGAAGTGAGTACAATGGCGTGTGTGTAGAAAAGCGTCAAGTCCGTCTTTTCCAAAAACATTTTGAATGCTGCATGCCTCATGCTTCGCAGCGCCTCGCGGGAGAGACCCAGCTATAGAGCAGGAGGTGAGACCCCCGGGCCCCCAGCTCCCGTCCCCGGCCGCGCGCCCTCCTGCCCCGGCCTGTCCGGCGAGGGCTGCAGATGCCCCGCTCGCAGCAAGCGGACGTTTCCCGTCTCCGTTTCCCGTGCGTCCCAAGTGCTGGGTCTGAGCTGGGCTGGAGCTCACCTATCCCCGGATCTTCCTTCTCCTGGCCGCGTCTCTCCCCTCTCCCGCCCCTGCCTGGGGTTTTGCAATCTGCTTAGGGTATGGGTTTAGAACACCTTGGGGGAGTTTCCGAGGGTGGGGGAGGGTCAGCCCTTGGGAGTAGCCGACAGGCAGGACGCATGGTGACCCTGGTCACACTTGTTGCCCGTTGCGTGGTGGAATAGGCAGTGGTGCTGAAAACAAGCTCTTTTTTCCTGCTGTTCGGTGTTTAATCGCGGCCAGAGCTAAGACATAACCTGGGTGCGGACAGGAGAGCAGGATTAAGGGGAGACTGGTGTGTTGGGGGCGGTGGGGGTAGTGGTGGTGCTGAGTGTGTGGAAGGGGCAGCTTCTCTCCCTGATCATATATCAAACAGGAAACCCAGAGGTTCCCCATATTAGATCAGGAGAAAAGGCTGTTTTTTAATTTTTTTTTTCTTTTTGAATTTTGGTATTTCATCAGTTTCTGCGTATTCTGTCTGTCAAATGCACAGTATGTATATTTCTGCTAATTAAAAAATAACAACAGCCAAAAGAATTAAACTCCTTCAGGAAATGTGTTAGCTTGATACACACAGACACACACACACACACACACACACACACACACACACACACACACACACACACACACACATCTGTTCCCGAAGGCATATAATGACGACGTCTTAGTGGGATTTCACATTGGGATTTGGTAGCAACAAGGTAAGCAGCCTTGGTGTTTTCCATTTCTGCAGACAAGAAACCACTGATGTGAAAAATCAGAAATATGAGAGCACAGAGATCTGGAGAGGAGAGGCTTGGAATGCTTTCTTTAGAGAGATAATATGGAGCTTCCATGTGATTTTTTTGTTATTTTTATTCCAAAGATGGCTAAATTTTAGATAGTGACTTCTCACTTAGACTCATTAAGCAGCCAGGGGGTTGGGGATGGTGGTGGTGAGTCTGCAGATGACAGTCATTTTAGCTATTATCAGCACTTCTATTAAAGTTTTTTTTAAAAAAAAATTAAAACATTAAACACATGCGGGGGCGAATGTTGACTGAAGTTGCCTTTATCAATATTTTAAAGGTGTCTATTAGTTTCTGGCTTTATTCAGAACAGGTGACTATCAGGAGGGAAGGTTGTAAATACCTGTATGGGTAGGCTGCACCTTAGGGCATTGCTGTAATGAGCTATACCCATGTGGAATCTCCACCTAGAGCCAGGGGTGCAGTAACCTCATCACAGTTCTCATTTCATCTCTTCAAAGTCAGCACCATTCTGAGCTTTGCTGGTTGAGGAGCCTTTGTCATCTGCCATCATTTTACAACACTGCTTAGGTCTGGTGCTTCAAATAGCTTTGTTTGCTAAGCTGCTTTTTGATAGGCAACTGAGTGTGTATTTTATGAACTCAGACTATGGTAGCCTACATTTAACTCACAGTGTTAGGCAAGAGGGAAGGGTAGGTAGCTATATAAAAATGTACACTCTTTATTACCTCTTATCCTCAAATAATTTCAGGTGTTTGTATGGTATTTGGGTTCAATCCCATAGGGATTTCTTATATACTTACCTACAAGTGTGTTTTAGATTAGGTTTTCATTTTATGAAACCTATGTTATATACATGACAGCAATTTTACTTATATCTATAATAATTATGGACTTAATTATTCTGTTTGAGTTGGTGTTTTTTGAAGTCCCTTATTTTTTGGCCATTCTGTTCATCCTTTTAGTTCAATGTTGCCTTTCCACCTTTCCAATCAAATATTCTGTAGTAGGTAGCTTGTTTTTCCTGTAGCAAGTGGAAGTCTAGTATTTCTTGTATTTTCTAAAAAGAAACCCATTAATGATATTTTGGAGCAGCTGAGATAAATAATAAATGGAGTTAGAGTCACGTCAGAGTATATGGGAATTTATACGAGAACACAAAAATTCACCCTAATGGAGCAATTAGCTTTGAGCAGAGCATGCAGGGTGTAAGGTGTGAGCCAAGGTTTTAATTTTTTTTCTTAATATCATTTACTGTTGAAATGAAAGAAACTTGTCTTTTCCTAGCTGTACCCGGGATTGTGCCACAAGGTTAGCAATAACTTATTTTTTAAACATATCAGACATTGAATGACAAATTATAGAGAATACTTTATCATGAGCCCACTTTGGAGAATAGGCAAAAATAAATGATTGTATTATTGAGCAGTTTATTTACCACTATGTTTTACCAAAAAATTATGAGGGATTTCTTTTGAGCAACAATGTTTGGATCTCAGATTCTCTTATAATACATTTCCTTTATTACAATAAATCTTAAAATAAAAATAGAGAATGTTCTTTATATTGATTGCTTGCGGTCTAAAGTTCTTGAGAATAGGAATAAACCAGGAGCCTTCTTCATGAGTATTTGAATTTCTAGTTTAGTACCATCAACTCTTAGGAGTTCAGAACATGCTGACTGGCATAGTGGACAAAGACAAATTTCGAAGCTAATTAGGAAGCCCTCAGGCATTCTTTTATTTTTTTAGTTTCCTGGTCCGACTCCTGTTTTTCCCTCCCACCTGGAACTCCAATGGCAGCAGAGAGCACAGACCCAGCCCCTTTTCCTTGAACCCATACATATGGCCGTGCATGCCATCTGGTGAGAGCACTCCTGGTCTAGGTTCCAGAGCTTCCACCAGGAGAGCAAGTGGAGCTCAGCCTGCCTTTGCTGACCCCTTAAAGAAGAAGCTCAACCAACTCCCCTCTGATCTCCTCCAACCTAACCCTCACTCTCTGTCGTTGTCAGTGGCGGCACCTGACTTGCTGGATCCTAAATCTGCCGCTCAGAACTCCAAACCGAGGCTCTCGTTTTCCACGAAACCCACAGTGCTTGCTTCCCGGGTGGAGAGTGACACGACCATTAATGTTATGAAATGGAAGACGGTTTCCACGATTTTCCTGGTGGTTGTCCTCTATCTGATCATCGGAGCCACCGTGTTCAAAGCATTGGAGCAGCCTCATGAGATTTCACAGAGGACCACCATTGTGATCCAGAAGCAAACATTCATATCCCAACACTCCTGTGTCAATTCGACCGAGCTGGACGAACTCATCCAGGTAATGGCATGAGAGGAGTTGACACTCCGTTTCCCCTAAGGGGAAAGAAAGCGTAAGAGTAGCGGGAGACAGTTCAGCTCGCAGCCCAGTGCAGCCCTACTCCACCTGCCCTCCCTAGCATGCACCTCATCCTCAGGTTCTTTGCTTTCCTTCCTCTTTTCTCATTTCTGCCATCTTTTCTCATCCTCCTCTTCTACTTGTTCCACCCATTGCGACATCTCATCCTCTTTTGCTCTTGGTCTTCTGTATCTTTTTTCTGTTCTCTCCTTGCTTTCTTGCTCTTTACCCTGTCGTAGAACTGCCAGTGGACACCACAGACATGGGGTTACCATGCAGAGACCCTCATGGTTAGGACGGTCATTGCCAACTGAGACACATTGCTGTGGCAAATGAGAGGAAAACAAGAGAGAAAAGTGCTTTGATCTTGGCAGTGGCCATCATATGATAGAGAGACCAGTTTGTGGTGTGGCCCTCTTGAGACGGGTACCCCTCATGGTTAACAAGTTGTAGCCGCTTCTGCAATCCAGCCAAGGTATAATTGGTAACTGCCTTTTTAAAGTGTCTAGGGAGAAGTGATTAATTATTACTTCTCTAAACCCCAACTAAAAGCTATTTATTACTACACAGAAAAATAGAGTTCTTGAATAAAAACTAATTTGGTTTTAATTTACTCTATAATAGTAGGACAATATCCTTGTGGAAAAACATTTTGTCTTAAAGTTAATCCCCAAATTATTTATAAGTTTCAGTTAGGCTCCTTGGAAATGGCTATATTTTTGTTGTAGATTTCTTTTGTGTAAAACCATGCATTGGTCAAACCAAGCATTTTAGTCAAGAAGAAAGCCCTAGAATTTTCTTACAAGGAGAGACCTGACTTTGTTGAAAATGTTTTAATTGTACACACATTTATTTTCCTATAGAGCCTACTTTTCTTACCTGGTTTAATTCAAAATTGGACTGAAAATTATCTGTGACTTATGATCCGAATGTGTTTTTCCTAGTTTTATATTTGATTTTACGTTGTTTGAAAGAGTTGAAATAGTAGATGGAGGGAATAAATTATTATTGGTTTTAATACTATTTTTTATTCTTGGACCTTTACTCTCATGTCTTTTTTCCACGGATCCCTGAATGCTGCCTCTGCCCCTCATAGCCCTCTCTGTTTGGAGTGTGGACATACAAGTTCTTTTTCAAGTTTTATGGTAAGCCATCAAGGCTACCCACCTGACCCTACTCAGCTCCTTCCACATTCAGACATTTCCACATCACTCACTTGGCTGAAATTTTGAAGATGCTATTCACACACTAGTATACTGAATACTATTTTTAGATGGTGGTGACATTTTCCATATTGACAGTGAAACTGCTAACTAATAATATTGTCCCAACTACCCCTGCCCTGACCCTGTGTAAGATCACCTTCCCTTCACTCCCACTTTGTGCCACATAAGCTTTGAGGTACGAAAAATCTTCAAGGAATCCCCACTTCCCGTGGGTTTTTGTAAGAAGAGCTCTTGGTTGTCTTGGTGGAGACAGCACGGAGTAGTGGTAAAAGCTTAAACTCTGGGATCGGATAGGATGTGTTTTAAACTCCAGTTGAGGAGTTTTCCCAGAGGGGTCATCTGGAACAAATGATTTTCTCTCTAAGCTTTCAATGATCTATCTGGAATGAGGAAAGAATACCTATCAAGAAGAGTTGTGAGAGTAAAGAGATTATCAGTGTAAAGCACGTAGGTGCTTAGGAAGTGTTAGGTTCATTTGATGTTATTTTTTCCCTCCCGTATCCCTTTATTGGGTTGTAGCTTCTGATTCAGGTAGTTGCAGAGTGAGGTGGTTAGGCAGGAAAAAAAAAAAAAAAAGAAAGAAAAAGACTGGAATTTCAGGACAATGCTAGAGGAAACTATGTGTAAATTTGAAAATGGCCTCACTGCGCAGCACTTACCCAGATCTGTTCAGAACTCTGAAAATAACTTTAAGGTCACATCAGGTAGGGGCAATCCGCTGGTGAATACTGATCATTTTTTGCCACATTGTTTTTGGAATGAGTACAAACAGAACTCAAGACATGACCTAGTTTTTTTTCTTTCTACTCTGCATGGGAAATCCATTTTAGCTTTATTAATATTCACTGCTGATTGAGTACTTTATGCTTCTTAAAAATCCTTTTTTGTGCTTATTCAGTATTTTTCAATGCTGAAGTTACCTGTATTTATTGTCATACCTCTCACCTTTATAACCTGACAATTTTAGTACATTATTTTTTTCTCTTTGTATATAATTTCTTTTGATAATAGAAATCTTCATAATGTCATGGCCTCAAGGGTCAGCATCAGAGTACAAGTAGGGAGGGAGGTGAGTGAGCCAGTTATCGTTTATTAGAATTAAATTTCCTTCCTGTGATTCTCACAAACTTCTAAGTGCTTTCCCCGCATTTATTTTTCCATTTAATAATCTCTTAAAACCTTGTGAGTAGACATATTAGGCAGTAATAGCATAGCATTAGGCTTAGGAAACGAAGACACAGAAAGTCCAGGTGATTTACCCCCAACAGCATTGCTAGGGTGAGATTTCATCCCAGTATTCCTGAAGACAATCCTGGTCTGGCATTATTCCTAGGCGTCTCTGCTGTTTCAGAGCTGACCTTCTTTCAGGACTGAAGAGGGGACAGTTGAAGATGTTAGCAGTTCTGTCCTCATGCTGGTGGGGAAGGAATCCTGGCGTCCTTTCACGGAGAAGGGGGAAGGCGGTGGCAGTGTGTAGACTTGTGTCAGATGCAGTTAATTTAACTGATCCTGGGTGCCAGGTTACTAATTGTACCTGTGGATGGACTACAGCATCTGATTCCAGGCTGTGGTGTGTCACAGGGTGGAGTGGGGGAGATGAGGGGAGAGATAGGAAATGGAGCATCAAGGCAGTGACAGCAACTGCTTGTTCTGTTACAGAAGCATGTGTGTACACTCCAAGTGCTGTTTTTGACACCCACCCTTTAAGACAAGTTGATAAGGGGCGGAGATATCAAGACAGATATAGCTTTGTTGAGCTGAGGTATTTTGAACAATATGATTTCTAATCCCTATTACATTTATATTAATGGACCACAGAAACATACATATTTTCAGGTTGTAAGAGTGTAAAGCTAGGGCTTATGTTGGAATCCTGCCGATATAGCCCAATTGTAAAGCTACACAACTACGCCAGTTGTTGAATAAGGCAAATCATAACTAAAGCCAAAATGTTTCATTATTTTAGTCATACTAAATTTCCATTTCCATTGTCAGAGCTAGGGCTCAGACCCTTCAAACCCATTGTACAAACCCACGCAGGTCCATGCTGGGTAATTAGGAAAGACCCCGGGAGCTGTTGGCAGATGACAGAAGCTCAGTCCTCAGCAGCAGCAGCAGCAGCTTACAGGTCTGGCCGTGGTGATGGCGTCACAGAGGGTCCTGGGGACACTAGCACCAGCAGCCTCCAGCAGCAGTAGTCTCTCCATGGTCCCTTCCTCCAGGGGCATCCTGGGGGTGGGGAGCGCCATGGGTCAGAGCCACTCATCCTTTATACTTAAGTCCATAACCCAGGACACCTGGGTGCATGGTCCCATCATGGGGGTGGGGAGCTCCATGGGTCAGAGCCACTCATCCTTTATACTTAAGTCCATAACCCAGGACACCTGGGTGCAGATGAGCAATCACACTAGATGATAACCAAGGAACACCTGGGCACACGTGCATATTTACATCAAATGCTCGGCAAGATTCTGAACATCCGAGGGGCCCTGACTATTCTAATATTTTCCCAGCAAAGAATCACAAATGCCTTTAACAATAGCCAAATTTTATGAGCACTTACTATGTGTGAGGCATCGTTCTGACCCTTTTTCATGTATTATTTCATTTAATTCTCTTAAACAACCCTACGGGGTAGTGCTGTATTATCTGTATTTAACTTACATGGAAACAGAGGCAGGAAGAGCTTCATTTTCTGAGAGTGCACAGTGGTAAAGCTATTATTCAAACTTAAGTGGACAGACTCCAGAACTTATGATCTTAGCTTCTGTATTTACTACCTCTAAAAAATTTTAATAAACATTTGCTGTAAAGTTTGTTATTACTCCATGTATTAGGGTTTAATGAATATTATATTATAGTCTTCTGTTCATAGTGATGTATACAGCATATCTTTCTTTTTGACATGGGGAATTTAGAGCCTGGATCTTAATACTTTTCCTGGACAATAGGATTATATCGATATTCTCCTATCTGAATGTGGTAAACCAGGTATAGTTACAATAGACACACCTGGTCTTCAATCTAGTTATTTCTGTGTTTGTTGAATCAATTCTGGGATGGGATGAAAAAGATAGGACAACATCTATGCTCCATATAGTGATAATAAAAATACTTTGCAGGAGGTTTGACTTTTATATTCTAATTTGAGCCCCACTCCCCTGTGAGCTAGGTGGGGAAGACATTTTATCTGTGTTTGGGTGAAGAAACTGACACATCTTTGTACAAGCTCATCTAGTGGCCTTAGGTATAGATCTTTGGAACCTTCCTGCTAGGGAGTTATATTCTTTTTGCAGTATGCCTACTTCTCATTTTGTTCATTCAGTGGTATTTATCTAGCACCTCCAACGTGTTGATGTCTGTGCTGGGTATTGAGCCAAACAAGATGATGGAAAAAACAGGGCTTCCCTCTAGGCAGCCCCCCACCTCCCATTCAGAGGAGGAGACTGCTACTAAAAAATAGTTACAATAGAAGAATCTTCGGATTCAAGCTGGAAGTGCTACAGATTGAAGTACTGAGGAGGACATTAATCACTTATGAGAGCTGGGAAGACACAGAAGAGCGGAAGGGGAATTGGATTTTAAGGGTATGTCAGAGTGCTGTGGGGGAGGAAAGGGGATGAGAGGACATTCTAGGCAGAATGTCTGGGCATGGTGTGCTCCAGTACTTGGATCACCTGGGCGTGAAGGGCAGGGGCATGAGCGGGTCTAACGAAG